TATATATATATATATATATAATATGTATATATGTATATATATGTATATATAACCACTTAGATGTGGTTTCTCTAACATCTGTCCTGCACTTCATGACATGAAACAGTGTTAAACTTTTGGCAGCTCCACCGTTAAACAGATATAAAAATAAGCAGAAGATACTGTTTTTAGAGCATCACTCAACCGAAGGCATTTAATGTTTTAAGTATGTTGAAAAAGCATATTGCTGTTCCTCAGCTGTTCATCAGCTGTTCATCAGCTGAATGATGTTCACATGGTTGAAGCTGTCCACGTGTTTCTGTTCCTGCAGTGATTGAGGAGGGTGGTGTGAAGATGAAGCTAACGATCGTTGACACTCCAGGATTTGGAGACCAAATCAATAACGAGAGCTGGTGAGTCCGTCCCGCTGCCTGATTACTGTCCTGGACTGCAGGACAAAGAGCACTGCGGTGCAGTTCAGAACGTAACTCCTGCTCTGTTTTCTGGACAGCTGGGAGCCCATTTCTAAATACATCAACGAGCAGTTTGAGAAGTTCCTGAAGGAAGAGGTGAACATCACCAGGAAGAAGCGCATCCCCGACACCAGAGTGCACTGCTGCCTCTACTTCATTCCTCCAACGGGACACTGGTCAGTGAAGCTCGAGCACAGTCTTTAATATCACCCGCTGCTAAAAGGCAGGAGGCCGTAAAAATACCTGTGTCAGCAGAACATCTCATGACCCACCGGACTAAACTTCTCAGAAAGTAATCGTGCGTTGTACATACCATTCAAGATGGCTGCCACAGCCAACTGGAGTAAAAAAGAGAAGGTGGAGAGTTTGATGAGGTAGGAGTCGAGAGTGATCCACATCACGTATTGTGAGCACTCCCAGATGGAGCACACTCTTTGTTGAAAGTCTTCTCATCACCTGTCAGGAGTCGTTGCTGTTAGCAAAATATTTCATGAGCCACTTGAAGCTTTCAGGAAAGAATCATTGCCCGTACTTATGCAAATGATCACTTGTAGAATAATTTAATTCTTCCATCATCATCTCATGAATCAAATCAGCCACACGGAGAAATGTGAGATCTCTTCACCCAGCTTCACGTCTTGCAGCGTTGAAATCAGCCGTGTTCTGCGCAGCTCCGGTCCAAGGTCTGCCCACGGACAAAGAGTCAGGAGGAGCTCAAACGGCCGCTCTGAGACCGAGGCGAGGTCAACACGAGCTCTGCTTCACAAGTTCCAGGTCTCTGGGCAGACAGAAAGACTCTCTGGACTTCAGGCTCTACTTTAATTTAACATTAGTAAGTGAAAACATCCATGACCTTTACATAAAGTCCCCCAACAAGCTTTTGAAGTCCACCAAATTCAAAATGGCTGCCACAGCCAGCTGAACTAAGAAAAGGGAGACCTCTTTAAATGAGTCACTTTTACAGAGCACAAAGCTAAACTCTGGTGTGTTAGTAGCTAAGAGTCCTCCAGGCGCTACACGTTGTGTGAGCTCTTTGCTCAGCAATACATGTTGAAGTCAACTCTGTCTGTTAGCAAAATATTTCATGAACCACTATCAGTCTACAACTGATTAACGTGTGAAGTGAAGAAGGTCGCCACTGTTAAAAAGGCTTTAATCCAGTGGGTTTTACAGAAACGGAGCTCAAATGTGGGGTGGTAGTAGCTGAGAGTCATTCGCACCACGTGATCTGACCATATCTTGTGATACTGGGTAAAATGGTGTGTTGGAGCAGAACAGGTGGGGGTCCACCTCCATGTACAATAAAGAATCAAGGTGTTTTACTGAGCACAATGCTTTCAGTGGTGTGCAGTAGAAGAGCAGCTGAGGCTTCATCTCTAAACATCTCTCAGAAGTCATGTGTCCTACTTGAGACTGCAGACCAGTCCTCCCACACTGCTCACATTAGTGGAGTGTTCTGGTGCCGGTGCATCTCACCGGACTTAACTCGGCTACTTTCGAGCAGCTGGAGGTTCAGTCACATCACAAGTGGAGCCTTTGTTTCAGAAACGCTCGCTCTGGTCGTCTTTTGTGATCGCACAAATGGGACGAAGGTCACGAGGCGTGTGACACGTTACAAACGTCCCAGTGGTCTTTTTGGTTTTTTGGAGATGGGCTGTCTGTCCTAGTCTGTCCTCGTTGTGTCTTTGTCTTGTTTTATTTCCTGTCCTGGTCCATGTATTTGAGTGTGTTCCTGGTGTGTCTCCCTCTTGTGGTGCGTCCACGTCATCAAGTCCCACTTGTCTTCAGCTCGTGCTCCTCCCAGCTGTTCGGCACCGCTCTCTGTTGGTGTAGGTCTGTGTGTTCTCTTGTCTGCTATCTGGGCTTGACCTCATCAAGATTTCTGGCTCATGTTCCTTGTCCTGCACGTCCCTGGTTGTTTGCACCTCCATACCCTCATGATGCCACGTCAGCCATTTTTCTTTATTCTTTCAATAAATGCCCTGTTTTACTCTGACCTGAGTTGTCTGAGTTTTGGGTTCAGACAATCACCAGATCCTTACACTGTCAGAGAATCGTATCATGTGATGGTTTCTTTCCTCCTCCCGTCTGTTCCAGTCTCCGTCAGCTGGACACTGAGTTCATGAGGCGCCTGAGCCACTCGGTCAACATCATCCCCGTTATCGCCAAGTCCGACACAATGACCATGGAGGAGAGGCAAGAGTTCAAACAGAGGGTGAGTTACCAGGTGTCAGCTCATTGTTAAAGGGCCACTTCGGATATTTTAAAGTGTCGTATGGAAAGTCAAGAACATTTAACATCTTCCCTGTAGTAGTTATCTCTTTGAACGACCTCAGTTTATAATGTTAACAAAGTGACTAGAGTGAACTCAGCCAAGACCACAAATGTTGTCGTCTTAAAACAGCAACTGCAAAACCTTGTAGCTGTTCAAACGAGTGCCGCTTTATAAACCTTTACACAATAAATGATGATTTACATGGACTCTGTATCTTAAGTGCAAACAGTACGGCAGCAGCTAGCTGTAGCCCTTCCAGCGCACCCTGGGCCACTTCCTGCACTGATAGACGTGTAGACAACGTGTTGACACATTTCTGCTGTTGTACAGTAAAACCTAACAGCATTGTTATGTTTTTAACTCTTAGACTAAAATTCATTCCCAGTTTTCATAATGGTTTATAAAAATGCTGTTTTTTATAAACCATTATTACCATTAACAAAGTCCAGCTCAATAATCCAGGTATACAACCCAACATTTTTCAGTCAGGTCATCATTACCATTCTCTCTTTCGATGAAGACGGTCTCTTTCACCCGCTCCTCCCTCCTCGCTGCTTTTGTGCTCTTGTCCTGTGAACCTGCTCCGAGCCTCTTTACACGTCTTCAGAATCAAAATTTGTATCGTTGTACATGGACATGTACATCGTTTGTATCATGGATCTGGTCAGCTGGTCTCAACAACAACAACACAAAACGGGGTGAAGGAGAGCCCTCTTCTCAAACGTAGTTGGATTTATGATAACTAGATTCTGCTTTTTGGAGTTGGTGGAAATCTGGATTGTCGATAAATTCAGAAACGCCAGCAGCTGTTGAATCGGTCTGGGATGTGTGTGCCGAGCCTGGCACCACTCAGACTGTGTGCGGACTAACTGTGGGCCTGTATCAGAGCTGAGCAGGCAGGACTGTGGACCTTTGTCACAGTGTTCATAGACGTTTGGAAGGAAGAGATCTTGTAAAAGTTGTCAGCCCGACTTCAGTGGAATGTCCACGGATCTGTCTGTTTGGACTCACCATCGAGTGTTGGAGCAGAACTGAAGGCAGACGTGTCAGCAGAGTCTGCCTGCCCACAACAACTCTTGTTTCTCTGAATTTGTTCTCCCTGCTGGCCTTGGAAAGGTCAACTTATCTCAAATTGCTCCTGGAGGATACGCAGACTAAGAAGCTCTGCCCCCCCCCCCCCCCCCACCCTCCCGAGTACAACTGTGGCCTTATCAGAACCACGATGCTGATAGACACTGTACCATCTTATCAGAACTTTCTGGAGTGTTCATGGACAACTCACCGTCTTTGTGGACCTCTTTGTACAGTATAAATGTATGATGATGGCAAAGTGTATTTCTGGTCCATTTGTGTTTGTTTGTCATATTAAAGGTTAACACAAAGTTAACAACAATAAAATGCTCCGGATGAGAAGAACCGATTTGACTCGCTAAAAAAACAAAGAACAAACGAGAAATACTAAAGCATGAAATAAGGGTACACAAAGTACAAAAAGTGAAACAGTAATTATAATATTTAGTAGGTCCTAAAGAGAAAATGGCAATCAACAACATGGTAGAATTTTTAACGGTGAGAGCAAGATGAATTTAAATGAGTAAATATTTCCAGGTATTAATATAAGCTAAAATGTACATGATGTGTGTGTGTGTCAGAGTCAGAGAGATTTATTTGTCATACACACCACAGGGTCCCAGTTACATCCAACAATAAAATGTAAAAGAAAAACAGTGATAACATCTAAGATATGAACTAAGAAAAACATCAACTAAATATACACTAAGCACTCATAACATAAAACATTATGTTGAACAGCAGCACGAACATGAGTCTGTGTGAGAAGGTGAGCACGCATGAACACATCAACATGAAACAGATCAGCAGCAACATGAAACAGATCAGCAGCAACATGATGTGATTATCCTGGTTCGAGATTCATGGGTCTAACAGCATATATATATA